TCCCTCCTCCCTCCTCCTCCTCTTCCTCCGCCTCCTCCTCCTCCTCCTCCTCCTCCTCCTCCTCCTCCTCCTCCAGCGCCCGAGGCCGCCGCGTCCTCAGGGATATGAGCGGCACCGTCGGGAGCAGGTCCTCCACCACGCCAACGACCAGCCAGATGATGATGCGAGCCGCTGCCAACAGAACGGGGGCGGAAGGGGCCACGGTAGCGGCGGGCGCCACAGGGGCCACGGCCAAGCCTCCGCCAGCGCCTGCCACAGCACCCTGCGCCCCCACCGCACCAGCCAGCTCCTGCGACGGGCAGAGTGGGCATAGCGTCCAGGTCGAGGAAGCTGGACTCCCGCAGTGCAGCCGCTGCGGCGAGAGGGCGGGCCCGTCCCTCCTGCGAGCCACCAGGTGAGAGGCCACCACGCTCGCTTCTGGACCGTTGCGATCCCTGCCCTGGTGTCCCCTCAGCGCCGCCTGGGGGCCCAGTTGTACCAAAACCGTCTGGGGGCCCAGCTGTACCAATACCCACCGGTCGGAAGAAGTAGGTAGAAACTGGGCACGCCCGCCGCCCCGCGGTCGCTCGGCCCCTCGGCTGGCCCCATTCCTTGGTGTTGTTTGTTTTTGTTTGTTGTCGCTTGTCCGTCGGCTGCACTGGTCGCCCCAAGCTCGCCCGCCGCCCCGCGGTCGCTCGGCCGCCCGGCTGACCCAACTCACTGGCTTTGTTTGCTTTTGTTTGTTTTCGCTTGTCCGTCGGCTGCACTGGTCGCCCCGGGCTCGCCCGACGGACAAGCGACATTATCCCGGCAAAGCAACCTAACAGCGATGTGTAGGAGCATATCTGGAAGCATTCCCCTTAAGATTCGGATGAGAATCCAGTTGTAGAATTCTGCTGTTCTCGCAGTCGTAGTCGCATTCGCGATGACAGTCGCAGTGGCAACGGCAGTCGCAGTCACAGCCAGCCTCAGCCTGCCTCAGCCTCAGCCTCAGCCTCAGCCTCAGCCTGCCTCAGCCTCAGCCTGCAGCCTCAGCCTCAGCCTCAGCCTCAGCCTGCCTCAGCCTGCAGCCTCAGCCTCAGCCTCAGCCTGCCTCAGCCAGCCTGCCTCAGCCTCAGCCTCAGCCTCAGCCTCAGCCTCAGCCTCAGCCTCAGCCTGCCTTCAGCCTCGGCCTCAGCCTCAGCCTGCAGCCTCAGCCTGCATCAGCCTCAGCCTCAGCCTCAGCCTGCCTCAGCATCAGCCTGCCTCAGCCTCAGCCTCAGCCTCAGCCTCAGCCTCAGCCTGCTTCAGCCTCAGCCTCAGTCTGCCTTCAGCCTCGGCCTCAGCCTCAGCCTGCCTCAGCCTCAGCCTGCATCAGCCTCAGCCTCAGCCTCAGCCTGCCTCAGCATCAGCCTGCCTCAGCCTCAGCCTCAGCCTGCCTCAGCCTCAGCCTCAGCCTGCTTCAGCCTCAGCCTCAGTCTGCCTCAGCCTCGGCCTCAGCCTCAGCCTGCCTCAGCCTCAGCCTGCATCAGCCTCAGCCTCAGCCTCAGCCTGCCTCAGCCTCAGCCTCAGCCTCAGCCTCAGCCTCAGCCTCAGCCTCAGCCTGCTTCAGCCTCAGCCTCAGTCTGCCTTCAGCCTCGGCCTCAGCCTCAGCCTGCCTCAGCCTCAGCCTGCATCAGCCTCAGCCTCAGCCTCAGCCTGCCTCAGCATCAGCCTGCCTCAGCCTCAGCCTCAGCCTGCCTCAGCCTCAGCCTCAGCCTGCTTCAGCCTCAGCCTCAGTCTGCCTTCAGCCTCGGCCTCAGCCTCAGCCTGCCTCAGCCTCAGCCTGCATCAGCCTCAGCCTCAGCCTCAGCCTGCCTCAGCATCAGCTGCCTCAGCCTCAGCCTCAGCCTGCCTCAGCCTCAGCCTCAGCCTGCTTCAGCCTCAGCCTCAGTCTGCCTTCAGCCTCGGCCTCAGCCTCAGCCTGCCTCAGCCTCAGCCTGCATCAGCCTCAGCCTCAGCCTCAGCCTGCCTCAGCATCAGCCTGCCTCAGCCTCAGCCTCAGCCTGCCTCAGCCTCAGCCTCAGCTGCTTCAGCCTCAGCCTCAGTCTGCCTTCAGCCTCGGCCTCAGCCTCAGCTGCCTCAGCCTCAGCCTGCATCAGCCTCAGCCTCAGCCTCAGCCTGCCTCAGCCTCAGCCTGCCTCAGCCTCAGCCTCAGCCTGCCTCAGCCTCAGCCTCAGCCTCAGCCTGCTTCAGCCTCAGCCTCAGTCTGCCTTCAGCCTCGGCCTCAGCCTCAGCCTGCCTCAGCCTCAGCCTGCATCAGCCTCAGCCTCAGCCTCAGCCTGCCTCAGCATCAGCCTGCTTCAGCCTCAGCCTCAGCCTGCCTCAGCCTCAGCCTCAGCCTGCTTCAGCCTCAGCCTCAGTCTGCCTTCAGCCTCGGCCTCAGCCTCAGCCTGCCTCAGCCTCAGCCTGCCTCGCCGCAGCATCAGCCTGCCTCAGCATTCAAAATGTGGCCCAGGAATGGAGTTCTGGGAACTCGAAGAACACGAAGTGGCCTACAGTTGGCTCCGGGCATTCAAAATCATGCCCAGGAATGGAGTTCTGGGAACTCGAAGACCACGAAGTGGCCTACAGTTGGCTCCGGGCATTCAAAATGTGGCCCAGGAATGGAGTTCTGGGAACTCGAAGAGCACGAAGTGGCCTACAGTTGGCTCCGGGCATTCAAAATGTGGCCCGGGAATGGAGTTCTGGGAAGTCGAAAAGCACGAAGTGGCCTACAGTTGGCTCCGGGCATTCAAAATGTGGCCCGGGAATGGAGTTCTGGGAAGTCGAAGAGCACGAAGTGGCCTACAGTTGGCTCCGGGCATTCAGAATGTGGCCCGGGAATGGAGTTCTGGGAGGTCGAAGAGCACGAAGTGTGTAACTGTTTGCGAAAAACGAATTCGGACCCAGCTCCCCGGATGCCGCCCGGACCCCCCTGTGGAGTCATCTGCTGCTCTCTTTTGACCCTACTAGAAACCTATCAGTCTTCGCTGTTAGGTAAACAAACAAAAACAAACACATCCACGTAATTGGGCCAGCCGAAGGGCCGAGCGACCGCGGGGCCGCGGGCGTGCCCAGGGCGACCAGTGCAGCCGACGGGCAAGCGAAAACAAACAAAAACAAACAAAACCAAGGATTTGGGCCAGCCGAGGGGCCGAGCGACCGCGGGGCGGCGGGCGAGCCTGGGGCGACCAGTGCAGCCGACGGACAATTGAAAACAAACAAAAACATACAAATCCACAGAATTGAGCCGGCCGGGGGGCCGAGCGACCGAAAGGCGGCGGGCGTGCCCAGGGCGACCAGTGCAGCCGACGGGCAAGCGAAAACAAACAAAACCAAACAAAACCAAGGAATTGGGCCAGCCGAGGGGCCGAGCGACCGCGGGGCGGCGGGCGAGCCTGGGGCGACCAGTGCAGCCGACGGACAAGCGAAAACAAACAAAAACAAACAAATCCACAGAATTGGGCCAGCCGAGGGGCCGAGCGACCGAAAGGCGGCGGGTGTGCCCAGGGCGACCAGTGCAGCCGACGGGCAAGCGAAAACAAACAAAAACAAGCAAAACCAAGGAATTGGGCCAGCCGAGGGGCCGAGCGACCGCGGGGCGGCGGGCGAGCCCGGGGCGACCAGTGCAACCGACGGACAAACGAAAACGAACCAAACAATCAAAACCAAAGAATTGGGCCAGCCGAGGGGCCGACCGACCGAAAGGCGGCGGGCGAGCCTGGAGCGACCAGTGCAGCCGACGGCCATGCGAAATCAAACACAAAACAACAAAACCAAGGAATGGGGCCAGCCGAGGGGCCGAGCGACCAGCGTCACCCAGGGAAGTGACAACCAAACCCTAGAAGTAGATTAGGTTTGCGCCCGCCCCCAAAAACAACAAAAAGTCTGGACTCTTGAAATAGGAAGGCGCTTAAAGTAGATTGGGATCTGGGAATCCAGAAATACCTACTTTCAACGACCGGTGGGTACCGTTGCGGGCGGCGCGCGAGCCGGAGACCCGACCACTGCGGCGGTGGGGCGGAGTGGCAGGTGGGGAAGGCCTGGGCGAGACCTCTGACGTGCCCTCACCGGACAGAGCAGGACCCCGATCGCGAGCATGACGAGTCGTGGTGCGAGTTTCACCCTTGGCAGGCTTCCTGAACTTCTTGTCATTCTTCTCCTTCTTGTCAGAATCACCCCCCTATGTGGAACAAACTTGCATTGGCGACCGCAGGAACTTGAAATACCTCAGTGTACCCGCAGCCGTCAGTGCGGGTGCGAGACAGAAGATGTCGCTCCAGCAGGAGCTCACAAAAACTTCACCTCCTGCCCAGGGGACGCAAGCATTTTGAGCCAAAATTGGCTCCGGCAGGAGGAGGAGGAGGAGGAGGAGGAGGAGGAGGAGAAGGAGGAGGAGCAGGATGAGCAGGACGTGCACCTGCACCCAGGCGCAGGAGCAGGAGCAGGATGAGAAGGAGGAGCAGGAGCAGGATGAGAAGGAGGAGCAGGAGCAGGATGAGAAGGAGGAGCAGGAGCAGGATGAGAAGGAGGCGCCCCTGCACCCCTTTTCCGTGGAACCTCTCCCTCCTCCCCAGAAACAGACTCCCCCCCTGTTCCCCTTGGACCCCCCCTTTTGTGGACCCCTCTCTCCTCCCTCCCTTGCGCACCCTCCCCTCAGGACCCCCTGTACCCTCCTCCTCCTCCTCCTCCTCCTCTTCTTCTTCTTCTTCTTCTTCTTATTGTTATTATTATTATTCTTATTCTCATCATTATTACTATTCTTCTTCTTCTTATTATTAGTCTTAGTATTGTTCTTCTTATTATTATTACTATTATGATAATATTATTATTCTTATTATTATTATTACTATTATTCTTCTTCTTATTATTATTACTATTATTATTATTATTCCCCGTCCTCCTCCTCCTCCTCCTCCTCCTCCTCCTCCTCCTCCTCCTCCTCCTCCTCCTGGACGCCTCCCTCCCCTGTGTAGACCTCCCTCCCTCCCCGCTGTGGACTCTCCCGGCGTCTGCGGCGCCTCGCCGCGGGCGCCCCTCCGAGGGCGGCCGCGGGCGGGCGGCCCGCATCCGCCCCCGCGGCCGGCGCGGCCAGGCCCAGGGAGCCGTTCGCTCCGAGTGGGCCAGCCGCGGCGTCCGCGTCCTGGCAGCGGAGGGGGAGCACAAGGGGCCGCATGCATGCGAGCCCTGGCCCCCTGCCCCTCCCCCCACGATTTCTGAGGGGGAGGGCGGGGGGGTTCACCTCGTGCGGGAGCTCGCGAGAGCGAAGGGAGCCCCACCCTCCCCCCTCGGAAGTCGTGGGGGGCAGGGGTGGGGTTCGCACGTGGCCCCCCTGGGGGAGCAGTGGGGGGGGGGGGGGAGGGCGAGCAGCAGGAGCGGCGCCCGAGGTCACGAGCACCGCTCGCGCCAGAGGGCCACGGAGCCCTGGCCGCGAAACGGCCCAGGCCCCCTTACCGTCGGGGGGGGCCCCCTGCCGTCGCGGGGGGGGGGGCGGGCTGGCGGGGGAGCTGGCGGGCGCGGCGGGAAGGGATTGGCGGGGTGGGGGGCGAGAGGGGGTCCGCAATCCCGTGAGAGACGGGGGACGAGCTCGTCAACGCACCTCCGGCGCCATCGGAGCATCAAGATCAACTCCGTGGCCGCCAAGATACCCAAAATGCTTTCTGAGATGGCTCCAGAAGGGCTCCAGCACACCGGAGAGGCCCCAAGAACCCCCAAGATCGCCTCAAGACGGCCCACGATGCCGAAAGAGGGCCCAAAGAGGACCTCCAAGAGGGCCTTAAGAGGCAAACATACTTGATTTTGCTAACGCTGCTGCATGATCTTCGCGTTCTCGCCTCTTCGGGCGTCTGGAAGCGAAAAGTGGCGCGAGAGGCCCCCCAGACTGGACCAAGGGGCCCCAAGTAGGGCCCAGGAACGAACCAAGAGGGCCGACAAAAAACTTCAAGAGGCCCCCAAGAAAGGCACAAGAGGGGGAACCCACAGGGAACCCCAAAGCCCTACCCCACAAGACAAGATCCGACATGGCCCCAGGAGGCCCCCAAGAAGCCGAGAGTGCCCCCCAAAGCCTCCAGGAGCCTCGAAACAGCTCCAAGACTACGCCCCACAGAGCTCAACGCACCCAACGCACTGCCCTGAAAAAGGCAAAAGCGCCATCTCTGCCCCAGTCGAAGACATGTGTGCCAGCAGCAACACGAGGATCTCGAGCAGGAGCAGGGACAGGCGAGAAGGAACCGCAGGAGTAGGACCAGGAACGGCAATGGGGACGATACGACGACGACGACGACGACGACGACGACGACGACGACGACGATGGCGGCGGCGGCGAGAGCGACGAAGACGACGACTCCGTCCGATCGCCCGTGGCCAGCCCGCGTCCTGAGTCGGCGTCCCGTCGTCCAGGCTGCTCGGCACCTGGGCGGCGGCGCTGCGCCCATGGCTGCCTGGGGCTCCCGGCACGGTCGGGCGGCTCATCGCCCTCCCGCCACCCGGCGTGCCCTGGCCTCTCGCCTCTCGCCTCTCGCCTCCGCAACCTCTGCGCCGCCGTCTGCTTCCCAACGCACTCTGCTCGCTTCTGATCTCCTCCACCCGCTCCTCCTCCCCCTGCTCCTCACCTCCCCCTCGCGATCCCCGAACAAGACGGACGCTCGGAGTACGACGGGAACAGCGGGATTGAACATGGCAGGTGAAAGGGAAGACTGTATGCCATCACCGAACCAACGGGAGTTCGGAGCGTCATTGAAGATGCGCGCTTGGGCCCCGAAGGGCGGTCCACGCGGGCGACGAGAGCTCCAGGACTGCCAGACGTGAACCGAGGGGGCCTTCAGGATGGCCGAGGAAACTATGAAGGGAAGGACGGGGAGGGGCGCGCAGTGAGATGGAACGCTGGTGGGAAACAGCAGTCCACTGGGAGGCCAGGGCAAGGCAGGGCGGGATGCGGGTGCCGGGAGAGGCGAAGAGGGGAGGAAGGTTCATGGGAGACGACGAAAACGCCGCACACTCGGCGAGTAGTTGACGAGCCCGAAGACTCTGGCCATCCTGGGCCCGTCGCGTTTGCCCAGGAGCTCGTGGCCAGGTTTGGCCCAAGCATTCCTGGTCGAGCTTCTTCTGCCACGTTGCGGGTCTGGGCTTTGACCTCCCGGTCGAACTGGGCCGCGGCTTGCCCGCTGGGCCGGTCGATCTCCCCGGCAGGATTCGCGTCGGAGGTGCCCTTGCGCCGCGGGCTGCCATTCCGCAGCCGACGGCGGCTGCCGCGCGCGCGCACGAAGAAACAGTCGCCCGCGGCTTCGTTGTGTAGCGCGTTTCCTTGCCTTCCGTCCCTCTGCTGCCGCTGCGTTGTCTGTCGCTAGCTCTCTCTGATTTCCTTCCCTTCGTCCCTCCCGCTCTGCTGCGCCTCGCTCGCTCGTCCTTCTGCTTCTTTCCGGGTTGCCCTCCGCTTGGCATGCGCTGATGCCGCCCCCCATGCGCTACGCCAGTCCTCGGCCCCACCCTGCAGCTTGCCTCTTTCTTCTCGTCGCCGCCGCAACCACCCGCGCGAAACTCCGAGCTGTCGCGCGTGCCAGGCTGACCGACGTTGGTCGCGGACCCGATGGGTGATGCGAGCTCGGGGCATTTTCGCGTCGGCCTTCCGCCCCAACATGATGTTCCTCCCTCTTCCCTTCCTTCTTCCTTGGCGCCTGCACTGCCGCGCGGTTTCGATAGCGGCGCGATTGGTGTCGCACTGCCGGCGGACTCGCGAGAAGTTGCTCTGGGGTCGCGTTTCGCTGCGGGGGAAAAGGGGCCCTATTGTGAGGGCTTTGCAATGAGCTGTTTTGTGTTGTGCGAGGGGCGCAGGGGGAAACAAGGAGGACAAATAACAGCAACAACATAACACAAACAACGAAATCAAACAAAACGTTGGAAACGGAGTTGCGCTTCAATTGTTCTGGGGCGTCGGCAGCGAATACAGGCTGAGCATCCGGCATTCAAATCTGCATCTGCCGCGTGCCCCACCCTGCGGTCAGGCACAGCGCCTGACACAGAAGGGAACGGACAATGACATAAACATAATACCTCAAAGGTCCGCGCGGATTTCTCGGATCGGCGCTGGATCCCCTCCCTGGCGCGCGGAGCGCGCCAGGGGCGGCTCCAGAGGCGCCGCCAGGGGGCCCCAGCGCCGATCTGAGAAATCCGCGCGGACCTCTGAGTTATTATGTTTATGTCCGTGTTCGTTCCCCCAAAACAGTCCCCACCGCGCTGATGGTGCTGAACTCCGTACCCGCGCCGGAGCAAGTCGCTCCCGTGGCCGCCCGCGCGCACCTGACAAAGTGGGTGACAGTGTAGGGCCTCGGCACGCTGTGCTCGAAGCTGCGCTCGGCTCGCAGCGCGGCCAGAGCTCCACGGCCCTCGAGAGCGCCAGTTGTCAGCAGGGCCGCGAACTAGTGGCACACCCGCTATATAACCGCGTGGTCGTCACGCCCTCCGGCAGCAGGTGCGCGTCCGTGGTGGTCCGCCGGTTATGGCGGATCACGATGCGGAAAGCCGGCGCCTGCGTTGGGTTGGAGGGGCTTCTCCACCAGCACGCCCCTCACCACGCGCAGGCCCCCCGAGCGCCTCCTCCACGCGTCCCGCTGCCCGCTGGAAGGCAGTGGCCCATTTGTCTGCGCGCATGGCCTCAAGCTCCACGGGGCACATGGCGGGGTGGCCGAAGAGTGCGCTGAGGACGAATGGTACGCTGAAGTTCCAAAAAGAAAGTGCCACCAGCCCTCTGGGCGGAGGTAACCTACAGGGGTTCCTCCTCCATCTGTCCGCCGTCTTCCCCTCCAGGAAGGGGCTCACCGCTACTCCGTATCAGTGTTAGAACCCCCTCCCCCACGCGACCAGCGACAAACCTATGCCAATGCCGACCCTCCTCCCCACCATCCTTTGCAACAACCCATATCACCAAAGCCTGGATCATGCACGGGCGCCCCGCAATCACTTCGCATGTGTTCTCGACTAGAGGCGGAGAGGGTGCCGGCAGATTGCCTGCTGTGTGGAATGCCAACGCCCCCAACCACCCCTTGCAACAACAACGATGCGAAGTGTACTTTGCACCAAAGCCTGGATCATGCGCGGACGCCCCGAGATCACTTCCCTTTGGCTTTTGACATGGACGGCGGGGGGGTGGCGGCATATTGCCTATTGCGTGCAGGCGCACCATCCATGTCAACAGCAAATCCGCCACCGTACCGCTGGGCACGGAGCGGGCGTGTCCTCAGGTCCTGGGCCCACTCCTCTAAGCCTCGATCCTCACTCTTGGGGAGTCTTCAAAGGGTCTGGACCCGAAATTCTCAAATCTCCCTGGGCTTGTCGCGTCTGTTCGGGGGATTGTCGCGTCTTCTCGCGTGACTTTTGAAGGCTCAAGATAGCCCCAAGATGGGCCCAGAGGGCCCTAAGAGGCTCCCTCCGACGGCCCAAGAGGCTTGAAAGACGCCCAAAGAGGCCGCCAAGAGGCCTCCCGAGACGGCCCCAAGAGGCACTATTGGTCTTCAAGGGGTTTTCGAAGGATGTTGGCAACCTCCCCTCTTCGGCTTCCCGACGCTCCACGAGGCCCCGACCGGGCCCCAAGACGACCCCAGAGATCCTCAAGGCGGCCCAAGAGGGCCCCAAGAAGGCCCAAGAGGCGCCCAAGACGGCCCAAAGACGGGGCCCAGATGCGGAACTCGAACGGACATTTCGAGCCCTCGGCCCCGGAGGCGCCCCCAGAAGGCCCCAAGAGGCTCCCAAGATGCCCCCAGGAGGCCCCGAAGAGGGCAGCCGCTGGTTTCGCCCGGGGCTGGTTTCGCCCGGCTGGTTTCGCCCGGCGCTGGTTTCGCCCTGGCTGGCTTCGCCCGACGCTGGTTTCGCCTGGGCTGGTGTCGCCCGGCTGGTTTCGCCCAGCTGCTGGAGGAGGTGCATGAGGAGGAGGAAGAGGAGGAGGAGGAGGAGGAGGAGGAGGAGGAGGAGGAGGAGGAGGCGAGGAGGACGAGGACGAGGAGGAGGAGGAGGAGGAGGAGGAGAGGAGAGGAGGAGGAGGAGGAGGAGGAGGAGGAGGAGGCGGAGAATGACGAGGATGAGGGGGGGGGAGGAGGAGGTGCAGGAGGATGAGAGGAGGAGGAGGAGGAGGAGGAGGAGGAGAGGAGGAGGAGGAGGAGGGGGCAGGACGAGAGGAGGAGGAGGAGGAGGAGGAGGAGGAGGAGGAGCGAGGTGGGGGAGGTGGGGGAGGAGGAGGTTGAGGTGGAGGTGGTGGAGGAGGTGGCTGAGGGAGGGCAGGACGGAGGGAGGATGGAAGAGGGTTAGGGCCGCCGGACCCGACCCGCCCATTAGGGTCCGCCCGTCCCGACCCGCCCGTTAGGGTCCGCCCGACCCGACCCGACCCGACCGTTAGGATTATCGCGTGCTCTCGATTATGCACCACACTTTAATGTCCCGCCCGCCCGACCCGGCCCGCCCGTTAGGGTCCGCCCGTCCCGACCCGACCCGACCCGCCGGTTAGGTCCGCCCGACCCGACCCGACCCGCCCGTTAGGGCTCTCGCGTACCCTCTCGATTATGCACCACACTTTAATGTCCTGCCCGCCCGACCCGACCCGCCCGTTAGGATCCGCCCGACCCGACCCGACCCAACTGAATCCGACTTTGGTCTGGAATCCGACTTTGGTCTGGAAATGCAGAATTTCGGACCCAAACTCCAGTAATCGCATTTCCCTGGCGGAATCCGCTCAGACTGGTCAGAAGAAGGAGGAGGAGAAGGAGGAGGAGGGAGACGACGACGGCGCCCTCCCAGTGCCCGATTCGGGCACCTGGTGCGCTCGGACGCGGGGCGTCGGCTGAGGGGTGCGCAGCCAGAGGCCTTCTGCGAGAAAACGTGAGCAAGGGGCCCCTGGGAGGACGAGGAGGAGAAGGACGAGGAGGAGGAGGAGGGTGAAGACGACGACGAGGACGAGGGGGAGGGGAAGAACGAGGAGGAGGACGAGGAGGAGGAGGAGGAGGAGGAGCACGAGGAGGAGGAGGACGACAAGGAGGGGGAAGAGGAGGAGGGCGAGGACGAGGACGAGGACGAGAAGGAGGAGGGCCAGGAGGAAGGGGCGGGGAGAAGGAGGAGGAGGCGGAGGAGGAGGAGGCGGAGGAGGAGGAGGAGGAGGAGGAGGAGGAGGAGGAGGAGCGAGGAGGGGGAGGAGGACGAGCAGGAGGAGGAGGAGGAGGAGGAGGAGGACGGCGACGGCGACGACGACAACGACGGAGGCGGCAGCGGAATCGGCGAGACCAGCCCTGGCGAAACCAGCCCGGGGGAAACCAGCGCCGGCGAAACCAGCGTCGGGCGAAACCAGCGCCGGCGAAACCAGCGTCGGGCGAAACCAGCGCCAGAAAACCAGCCCCGGCGAAACCAGCCCCCAGAGGCCCCAAGAGGCCCCCAAGAGGCCCCCAAGAGGCCCCCAAGAGGCCCCCAAGAGGCTCCCAAGATGCCCCCAAACTTCTCCCAAGAGGCCCCCGAGAGCGCTCCGAAGAGACCCGAAGAAACAACTTTGACCCACAACCCGAGCACTTAGCTCGCGAGCCCGTCGTCACTCTGCAGTAGTTGTTGACAGGGATGGTAGGGGGTCGACATATGAAGGTGCACCTCGCGGGCTTTGCGAACCTGGCTGGCGTCTGCATTGGGTCCTGATGGTTCTCGATGGCGGCCCCTGCCTACGCTGGGACTCGGGTGCTATATATGTCGCGAGCGGGCGGATGGGAGTGAGCGAGACAGCTTGCGGCGTTCCTGGTGGGAACATGACCCCTCCCCCTCCCCCCTCGCCCTGTGTCTTGGGGGGGGGGGGGGGCCGGTCGCGAGCGGTCAAAGCATCCAAGATGGCCACAGCGCGAAAGACGAACACATGCAGGTTTGGGGGATATGTTGACCTCCTGGGGGGGGGGGGGGGGGGGGGGGGGGCGAACCTAATTAACGCCGCCTCCTTTTTTTTATCAACGGCCTCAAGACGGCCAGAACAGCTCCCTAAGAAGCGCCGAAGAAACCCAGAGAGGACCCTAGGCCCCAAAAAACCTCCAGGAGGCCCCCGAGCGGCCCCGAAGTGGCCCCCCAGAGGCACCCAAAATGCTTCAAGAGGCCTCCCAAGAGGGGGCAAGGGGCCTAAGACACTCTACTACATCTCTTTAGAATTCATGGCAGCTCCGCTGGGCGTCGTGTCTAGATGGACTGGTGGAGAATCGCAAAGCGTCAAGAACATCCATATCGCTATGATCTCACATGTGTTTCTACCTTCCGATGCCAAACAGATGTGCAACACCGTGTTCTCAGCATGCAGGGCTCCAACACGCTGTGATTTCACATGTTGTTCTCCCTTCCGATACCTGGCGCACGTGGTATAACACAGTGATCCCGGGAGTAGTACATAGATCTCCTTATTTGTTTCATCGTGTGCCCCGGCCCTCGAAATCAAACATCAGTGAACACACAACAGATGTGTCAGTGTCCTTGGGTGCTCTTGTTGTTGTCTGTCTCCTCCTGATATCCTCCCAAATCCCTCGCATCAAGTTCTCCTGTTGTAAGGGCGACACAAAAGGAATCCTCTTGTGAAGCCTCCACACCAAGAACCGTTTCGTAACGCCGCCACAGAGGGAATCCGGTTGTAAGGCCCTCTCGCAAGAAATCCTTTTTTGTCATGCCGTCATATGAAGGAATCGATGTGCAAGGCCGCCACGACAAGAAGCAAAGCATGTCTTGCCACGCAGGAGAGTGTGCACAACGCAGAGAATGCTGAGACACATGTAGCAACACATGCGGACATACCTATAGAAAGCATGAGACCCTAATAAGGTAAAACCGTGGCGGCTTGACATCACCGAGGTGCCCTGGGAGGGGGGGGCGGGGCGCACGATGGGTGGTGGGTGGGTGGGTGGGTGGGTGGGTGGGTGGGTGGGTGGGTTGGAGGAGGAGGAGGAGGAGGAGGAGGAGGAGGAGGAGGAGGAGGAGGAGCGAGGAGGGGGAGGAGGAGGGGGAGGAGGAGCGAGGAGGAGGAGCGAGGAGGGGGAGGAGGAGGAGGAGGAGCGAGGAGGAGCGAGGAGGGAGGGGAGGCGAGACCTAGAGGACTTCGGACGGCCCCCCGCACCGCCCCCGCTGCCGCCGCGCCCGGGCGAGCCCGCCCTCTGCGCCAGGCCGTCGCGGGCGGGGCCCGCGCCGGGAGCGGCACCGGGCGCGCGGACGGGGGGCGCGCCATCCTCCGAGGGGGGGGGGGGGGGCGCTCGCCTCCCGCGGGCCCGCGCCGCCTCCTCCACAGCTGCTCGGCACGAGGGCTGCTCTCTCTCTCTCTCTCTCTCTCTCCCGCCGTGCCTCGGGGCACGGAGCGGGCGTGTCCTCGGGTCCTTTGCTCTGATCCTCTTGCAGCCTCGGGCCACGCTCCCGAGGAGTCTTTGGAGGAGCCCCGCGCTGCCTCCACCACTGCTCAGCACGAGTACTCTCTCCCACCGTGCCTCGGGGTACGGAGTGGGCGTGTCCTCGGGTCCGTTTCTCTAGAGGAAAGAGAACTATGCACATGCACCGATTCTGGCCAGGCGCATCCTGCGCCTAGGATCGGTGCATACGCCCTCCTACCTTGGCCAGGAAGGTATATGCACCGATCCTGGGTCAAGGACGGGCCTTGCCAGGATCGGTGCATGTGCATCTCGTCGCCCGATTCTCTGATCCTGTTGAAGCCTCGGGCCACGCTCCCGAGGAATCTTTGGAGGCGCCCCAGCCCCACACCGCCAGACCTCCCGGGGCTCGGCGCCGCTCCCCGCCGCGCTGCGCGCGTGACTGTCTTCTCGGGCACGAGAGAGCTGCTCTGTACGGGAGTTGCTCCGCTCTCGGCGTTTGATGTATGCACACCAGACTTCAGGCACTGGCGAACGTTCTAAACGTTTGGGATTCAGGATCCCGTCGTTTCCGGTCCTTCAAAATGCTGCTGCTGCTGCTGCAGCGAGGGCCTCACTTTAGGATGGGCGCTTCGCTCCCGTCGTTCAGAATGGCACTCTCGGTCCAGCGCGGACCATTTCGCTGCGTACGAGTCTTTCCCTATCGTTGTCGCCCCCAATGATTTCCCCTCTTCCGCCTTCACCTGGTCCTCCGGCTCCTCCCGATCCTTCCACTCCAGCTCCTGCTGCTGCTGTTCGTCCTCGTTCTGTTCCTTCCTCCTCCTCCTCCTGCTCATCCTCCTGCTCATCCGCCACCTTCTCTCCCACTGTGCGCAGCTCCATGTTTACGACTGCGCACATTACGATGGGGTCCCATTTAGAATTCCAGGTCCGCTATGCCAAGCGTCGGCGGATAGAGAAACAATCGGCGAAATGGGAAGGGATGGGCGGGAGGGTTGAGATGTCAGACATGACGCGAGCGCACCCAGCTTGCCGCCCACCCCTCTCCACCTTCTCCCCTCTCCCCCTGCCGTCGCTCCTCGTTACCCTTCTCCTGTCTCCCTCGCTCCTCCCTCTCTCGCTCGCCCCCCTTCGCTCGCTCCCTCCCTGCCTGCTTCTCTCGTCCCATCGCCCCCATGCCTCACCCCCCCCTTTCCCCTGCTACTGCTGCCGCTTCTCCCCCTCCACTACCCATTCCTGCCTGCTCCATCCCCCTCACCCCCTCCAATTTCCCTCTCCGCTCCCGTCTCTCTTCCCTCCGTCACTTCCTCTCTCCCTCTCTCTCTCTTTCCCTGCCTCCTTCTCCCCTCTCCGCTCCCTCCCGCTCCCTCCCCGCCCTCAGTCACTTTATGCCACTTCGAACAGTTACACGATGTAAGTACTACTCTACTCTCTGCCCTGATTCTGTGTGGTGGCGCCGCGGCTTTGAAATCATACCGAGTGCGCGAGTGCGCAGAGAGCTGCGGACTGCTAGCGAATCGCGTGGCTGAGGAGGGGCAGGCTAGCCTCGAACTCGGGCAGGGCCCCGGGGTCGCCTCCAAACGCTCCGGCGGCGGTCCGACCCTGCCCCAAGACGGCACAGGACGAGCTCCTGACGCCTTCAGCGCCACCAGCGACGGCTTCACGGCTCCCGCGGGGCCGACCTGCTGGATCCGAGGTGCCGTCGGGAGGCCTCCGCGAGGCCCCCGACGCGGGCCCGTGGGCAGCTCCCGATGCTGCCCAGAAGCGAAGCCGTCACCGACGGGACGCCACGCTCGGGGCTCAGGAAGCGACTGTGAACGGCAGCCGTGGCGCGCCGCGGGCGGGGCACGTGAAGAAACGACCCGGGGCCAGACCCGGCGGGGCGCCGGCCCGCAGGAGACGGGGCCGCAACGCCCTCTCGAAGCGAGGGGTGGCGACTCGCCCATCGGCGTGGCGGGGTGGGGTTCCGCCAGGAAGCTGGATACAGTCGGGGCCCTGAAGAAGGAACCCTTTTCGTTGGGGAGGGGCTCCGTGCTCCCTAATTGTTTCGCAGCTTGCCTTGGATTTTCCTTAGGTCTTCGATACGAAATCGAGGTTCAACTTATGGAAAATAGGGGCCTCATTCCTTATTCAGGGTTCCTTAGGTCAACGCCTCGACGGTACACGTGTGGCCGGCTGGCGTGCACGGCCATGGGAGGGCCGGGCGCGGGAAAGGCATCTGGCCACATGTGCATCCAGGCCAGGCCCTCGACAGGCTGGGAGGCCCAGGAGTGGCGGAGGAGGAGGAGGAGGAGGAGGAGGAGGGCAAGGAGGAGGACGAGGAGGAGGAGGAGGAGGAGGAGGAGGAGGAGGACAAGGAGGAGGACGAGGAGGAGGAGGAGGAGGAGGAGGACAAGGAGGAGGACGAGGAGGAGGACGAGGAGGAGGAGGAGGAGGAGGGCAAGGAGGAGGACGACAGGAGGGCAAGGCTGGCTCGCCCAGGCCAGCCAGTCTGACAGGCTGGGAGGCCCAGTGAGGGTCCGCCCACGCTTCGGAGCAGGCAGGAAGATGCGCAAACTGGTATGAGCACACGTGGCGGGATTGCTTTTTTGGGGGGGGCGCCTCGGTTTGTTTATGACTACCCATCGGTCGGAAGAAGTAGGTAGAAACATGAAGTAGGAAGGCGTTGGAAATAGATTGGGTTTCCGCACGCCTCCTGAAGAGGAAGGAAAAGGAAAAACCACTCGACTCTTGAAGTAGGAAGGCGCTGAAAGTAGATTGGGATCTGGGAATCCAAGAATACCTACTTTCAACGACCGATGGGTACCGGTCGTCCTACGAAACGTGGGATGTTGAATCTCAGCAGTATGACGGGGTGGCAGAAGGTGTCCGCCCCCAGTCTTTCGAGCATCATGTGAAGATCGCGCTGGAGTCATTTCCTGGCAAGTTAGTTGCGTACACATTTAAAAGCAGGCGGAATGGGCGGGATTGCAGCAGCGCTTCCCCAGCTCCGCAACCATTTGCCTCAGAGGCCCCTTCAAAGGGCCGTGCTGGCAGCACACTGCGAACCGCACGCCAGGGTCCAGTCTAGGAAATCACCCAAGGACGTATCCAACCCTTTGGAAACATGTGGCGACTACACACGGGACCGCTCACTACAAACGAAATTGCTGAAATTCCTACAGTGTGCAGGAGCATTCAGGAATGATCTTTGAAGAGCGCGAGGCCTCAACTGGATCCCCGTATCCTCCCAGGGGCCCATGAAAATGGCGACAGTTTCGCACTTCGCAGCCCCCCAGGGAGCCGCGAGGTCCCCGTGCCCCCCCACTCCGCGGGACCTCCCAGGAGCCCACGAAAGTGGCGACGGTTGCGCACTTCGCAGCCCTCCAGGGACGCAGGCGGGACGAAGGAAAGAAGGGAGGAGGCAGAGAAGGAACATGAGACAGGAGGCAGCAAGCAGGAGGCAGGAGGCAGGAGGCGGAGGAGGAGACTTGGAGCGCACAGTGCCCTCTTCAACACGAGAACCCAACAGGGGAGCGTTGGGAAAAAGTCACTGCGAGCAGCCCGGCGCCCCAGGACGGCCTCTGCGAACCGAGCGCAGAGCCGCCCAACGGGCGGCCCCCCCCCCTGGTGGAGCCGAGCGTCGGCGCTGCCGTCGCAGGGCTCTCGCAGGAGGCTCCGGCTGCCGACGGGAGCCCGCGCCCTGCAGCCTCGGACGTGTGCAGTGGGGGCTGGGGGGGGCCCGAAGGACGACGATGGGGGGGGGAGGGACGGAGGGAGGCTGGGAGCGCTCGCGGCGGAAGGTCCCCCCCTGGGCTGCATGCCAAACAAAAAAAACGCCTGGACCGTGTGCGGAGGGAGGGGCGGGAGGGGAACGGGGGGGGGGCGGGGGGGGCGGAGAGGGGGGGGGACAGGCTGGGCCCCCCTGGGCCGGACGGAATGCAAGAAGGCCTGGGCCCGCAGAGTGAGATTGTGTGCAGCTGCGGACCAACTTCTCTTCGTGGATTCGCCCGTCCGCGGCCGCTCGCCCCGACGGCGTGAGGGAGACCGCCCGCTCCGGAAGGCTGCCGAGAGAGACTGCCGCGGTCCTCCTCGACGGGCGAAGGCGCCTGGGGCTGGGACAAATCCTTTTCCTCGACGTCCTCGTCCTCCTCCTCCTCCTCCTCCTCCTCCTCCTCCTCCTCTGCCTCCTCCTCATGAGCACAGCTCAGCGGGGGTATGTCGATGATAGGCCCCGTACACAACAACAAAACGTGTGGTCGGGTAGCCCCTCCTCTCTCCTGCCCTCCCTCCTCTCCCGCCTCCCTCCTGCCTTTTCTCCTCCTCACCGTCCTCCCCCCCCCTCTCTTCCTCCTCCTGCCTGCTGCTGCTGCTGCTCCATCTGCTCCTCCTGCATCCCTTTTCCATATCCGCCACCGTGCCTGCACGGAGCTGGCATGTTAGAATGTTTGTCTGCTGTCGTCTAGGAGGTTTTCCGAGTCTTCTGAGGCCGCCCCCTGTGTTTCCTGTATCGCACGCGTCCCTCTGAGACCGTCTGCCCTGAAATTGCTCCCCGCCGATCTTCTCAGCTTCCAGTCGGCCAAGAGTGTCTCCGAGAGGAACATGACCCCTTGGATCACTACTCTATGTTCCCTGGGAATCGACTTCCAGCGATCCGAAAGGCGATCCTGGGATCACCTTTCAAATCGCTGGGAATCGAGTCCCAGTGATCCGGACGTTCCCAGTGATCCGGACGTTCCTAGAACCACGCGCGCGCTTCGCGCGCTTAGGTTCTGTCGAGTCACAGACCCAGGAATCGTTGTGAGAAGAAATTGGTGACGCGAAGCGTCGTGGGGGCGTCCTTGGACGTCTGGGGTCTCCTGGGGCCTCTTGAGGGGCCTCCTGGGGGC